GAATCTGGATGTCTTGAAGCAAAAGGGCTGGTTTGTTGTTTGCAAGGTCTGCAAACCATGAACACACAGTTTTTACCTGTAATGGACAGTATGAACCCCGGGGGGTTGATGGGTTGAAGAGTTTCTCAAAGCCAAACCCCAGAGCATATAGGTGGGTGACTTGCAAGGGGCTTGGATGGCCCGTGCAGCCTGACTACAGATCCTCGCAGCTGAGCTGCACGTTTCCCATGACTGGCTGACACTGGAGCATCTCCTTAGAGGCTTGACCAGGTGGGGCCCTTAGCAGAATCGGCAGTCTGACAGGTGTTGTTTGCGGTTTTCTAAGAACTTGGGAGTGTGTTACTTAACCCCAGGTCCATCATGAGCTACACAGCATCTCAAGCTTCCAAAACCTCCAAGTGGACAAAGGCTGTCTGGGCTTCTGTACTGAAGGCGTTTCGTCGAGGTGAATTTGGTTTTGCCTTCACACTTGGGTGTGATCACTTCAGACCAAGTCCTACAAACTGACACTGAGCCTGTGCTCCTAAGCATCAAGGTCGAGCCTCAGCCCGGGCGGCCCTTCCCCTGGGTCCTCTGATCTCTCCTTTGTCTGCTCCCAGTTGAATCAGGGACTCCTGTTTTTCCCCCTCCAGGAAGAGCTTAGACTCTCCTCCCTGTGAGGCCCTATGTTGTGTGCATGGGGGCATCCCAGGATGCCTGGCCTGAGGCTCAGACCTCCCTGCAATTTCTCCGGCACCTGATATGTTTTGGGAAGACTCTTTCTGCTCATCTGAGCTCACGTGGGTGCCGCTGTTGCAAATCAAAATTCCCCTGCATGGAGCATATCCAGGAGCATGCCTTAACATGGTGTCCTGCCTTATTTTTAATTTTTAAATGTGTAAAATTTAAATGAAAAAACAATGATGATCATTCTCTTCATCCATTAGTCAGCCAGACACAGTATGTCCCAAGTAATGTGTTATCACCTCTGAGAAGAATCAGGAGTTGTAAATTCACAGACACCTCAGGAGCAGTGGGCATCCCGGCACTGAAGGGGAGGGCAGGCAGCAGAGCCTGTCTGGTACTTATAGTGCGTCCCTCTGCTCTGGCTCTGGCTCTGGCGCTGTCTCAGGCAGGAGAGCTGGAGCTGGCTCTCCTCCCAGAGTGGTTTCTCCAGCGGGTTCTGGAGCTAGTGCTGTGGCTCCAAGAAGGGAAATTCTCATCAATAGGACTGCTTTCCCACGTGTCTCCCAAAGCCAGGGGAGCCCTCACTGCTACTCAATCAACTCTCAGTCCCTGATTCCACCTCCAGGGAGTCTTCCCAGACTCTGCTCTGTGTTGTCCAGTGCCTTCCCCTCCCCACCCACCAGATCCCCCACCCTGCATCCTCCTCACCATCACTGTCTGCCTCTGGGACCTCCAGTTGCTCCAGCTGTGCCAGGAGGAGGTGGGCCTGCTGCTCCAGGTCTGAGCCAGGCATGCTCAGCTCTATGTAAGAGACATTGGTCTTAAGGCAGGGAAATTCTGGAGGCTGGTGAAAATCATCTGGGTACTGGAGCAGCCAGGTGCCCAGGATGGAGGACATGGCCCTGGGGGTAGCCATGAGGGCACCAGAGTCAGAGGCTTGGCTGTTCCCACCACGTTGGGCTCCCAGGGTAGCCCAGCAGGGACCTGGGCCTCTTTGCCTTTGGCTCCTGCCCATCCAGAGGCCGGCTCTGCTCCATGTCCCATCTCACTTGGCAGTCTGGGCAGAGGCGGGCTTGGACACAGAGAAGGGGCTGCTATAAACCTTCTGAAGGGACAGCCCTGGCTCAATGGCGTGACCACCTGTCCACCGCTTCAGGGACACTTGTCACACTGCTATGTCCCTCTCCCTGCCCCTCCCCACTGCATGGCACCTCTGTGAGGACAGGCAGGCTGTGTGCTCTGGGCACTGCCCTCTAAGGGACACGGGAGCTGCTCTATGAGTGTCTGAGCTCATAGACACAGACAGGCTGTGTCGGCCATCCAGGCTGCCCACGGGCCTCCTCACACC